GTTGGTTTTTAGGACAGGCGAGTGGGAAGCGGAAGGCTGGGTCAGAACAAGGGACTTTCTGGAGCAAAGGGCAGTGACCGTGAGCATGTGACCCACATCCTGATCCTCCACCCTGTGCCACCCTTATCAGCTAACAAACAGAGGCTGGGCTTCCCGCACAGCCCGGTGCCCCTGCTCACCGTCCACTCCCAGAACGCCCCCACCTCCCAGCTACACACGCACACAGCAGGACCCCTGGTCTCCTGCTTTGTCCCCGCCACTTCCCCTTTCCCAGGCAGCCTCCAGCTTTGTTCAGCTCCCGCCCCTCCCACCCCAGGCCTGGCTGAGCTCATCTTTAAACCCAGATGCCTTACTCGGCAGGGCTGCAGAAAGCAGAAGTTGGTCAAGAATTGAACATTCCTGGAACTGCAACCTCGGGTCTCCAGACCGAAGCACCGTCTAACAATGAGAACTGTGCAAACATGATCTGGCTTCCCCCGACCTGGGGTGGGAGTGCGGGTAGTGTGTGGGATCCTGGCGGCTGTAAGTACTCAGGCAGGCTGACCCACCCGTGGTCAGTCAGGGCTGGCTCCATGGTGCAGCCAGCAGCCATTCAGCTTTGGGATGCAGTCACAGCCTCAAAGCCACCCTAGCATGTCACATAATGCCATTCACCCGTGGAGCCGACAGAGGTGGCTGACAGCATACAGCTGCCCAAGTGGGAAGTGGACTCCTGGCAGCCGACCAGACCGAGTCCCAGCGATTCCTTCACCGTCCTTGACTCTGAAAGCCCCAATTGCTTTTCTCACCATGCAAGCAAAACCCACAGCACCAGAGTCTCTCTCCATGAGGGCAAACCTCCCTCGTGCGTGGCGTTGGACGGCAAGCCCCCATGTGGGTGCCGGGTTGTCATTCCAGACATTCATCTGCCCCACGTGGCAGCCTTTGCCCCCTGGAGGAGCTCACCTGTTGATTCTCGCCCTGCCCTCTGAAAGCAGCAGGTGTTCGGTGACTGCAGACTCTTTTTTTGGCTGCCGGTATACAAACAAAAGGACCGGTGTCGTGTTCAGCAACGCTCCACCTCCACTTCTTTACCGGACTTACTGAATTTGGTTCTGGTTTCAGGGGAGGCCCCCTGAGTTGGGAATGTGGAGTTGCCAGGCAGGTGGGCACCTGCCATGATGGTGTCCCCGGAAAGCCCAGCACCTACTGTGTCTTGCCAAATTTTTCTCCCTGCAGTAGCAGCCGATGGCTGAGGAAGAGAACATGCTTGGGAATTCTCAAAGCACTTGCAGGCCTGAATCAGCTGCCGGGCAGAGGGGAGCTCGAGAGGAGAGCGCCCAAGTCCAGGGCCAATGACGCCGTGTCCATGGGCTGTGGAGCTGTACTTGGTCCCTTGGCATCTCATACTGCCGGGGACAGAGTGTGCTGGCTGGGGAAGTTCAGCCAGGGGACCCCGCAACGAGCAGCCCCCTTGGTTTCACAAGCTCATCTCCTGGAAGGCTGGGGTGACAGTCAACCTGTCCACATTGCTCCAAATCCTCTCCCGAGGCCTTGCAGGTGGAAGAGCAGAATTGTTCTAGAAGACCTTGACACTGCCGGAATACGCCACTTCCACCTCCCACCCCAGGCCCTGAGCAGTGTCCGCAGCTACCAAGCACTGAGAACCAAGGACTGGACCCAGTGTGGGAAGAGTGGAGCTGGCCAGGTCACCAAGCAGAGCCAGGACCAAGGGGTGCCTTCAGATCAACAGCCCTTCCGCACAAGCCCACTGGGAAATGAACTCCAGGGGCCAGAGCTGTGTCCTCTGCCCTGGAAGAGGTCCATGACATGGGTGTGTCCCTCACAGGCGTCCTGGCGCTGACCACGTGGAGCCCACCTTGTAGGAGGCCAAGGTCACTTTCCAGAGAGTCGCGCTCAGGGAGAGGAGCAGAGCCAGTGGGCGGGGCACGCCCGTCCCCTGACACGACAGTCTGTGTGACGGCACCAGCGCCCGGGACCCCTCCTCTTGGGCTCCCTTAGGACAGGGTCATTACCGCGCCAGAAGCCGGTGGCACACCCCTGGGGTGCACTGTTTTTCTCCCAAGAGCTGAAGCTGTCACAATTACGGTTCTCTGCCCGGAATCTATTACGAGGTCTGGTTTTCTCTCCCAAGGCCTCATTAGTCATATGCTGAGGAGTAACTGCAATTGAAAATGTAAGGTGTTTTGTTCACGGTCCGCCCTGTCCGAGCTCAGGAGGGTTAGGGGATGGCAGGACGGCACTTCCTTCTTGCAGATGCCACGGTTGATTCACCGGGCACTCTCTGCAGAGGGGAGAGTTCCTCAGAAGCCAGGAGTCTCCCAGACAAGCGAGTGGGGGCCTGGAGCCTGGCAGCGTTTGAGGTGCACATGGCCGTCTGTCCCTGGGGTGGCTATAGCTGGACAAACACTGGACTCAAGTTCAGAGTCACACGGAAGGCAGTCCGTGAGGACAGCCGGTGCAGAGTGCACCTGCAGGTACGCCCTTCAGCCAGGTGCCCCCGGCTGTGCTTCCAGCCTAGTGAGCAACCACGGCAGCACCTGCAGGTCCCCTGGGGGCACATGATCCTCCTTTGGGACATGGCTTCCCTGTTGGCACCGCAGCGGCCACAAGCGGCGAGCCCCCAGTCCTGTCCAACACCAGCTCAGGAGTACAATATCCCTTTTCTTTCTCTCCCATAAGCTTCACGCTGGAGGGAGGAGCCAACTGGATTTGGAATTGCAGAGAGGAGAAGGAAGAGGAGGGCTGGGAAGAACCAGGCAGGTGCATCCCACTCAGCTCTCATCCTGAGGAGCAGGCAGCCAACCAGGAAGTACGCCTTGCCCTCTGCCCCACCAGCTCCGACTCATGGGCAGGCTGACGAAGCCGCTGCCTGCTCCTCCCTGCCTGAAGCCACAGAGGGTACTATGGGGCAAGCGTCTGTGGGGCTGGCCGATTTTGAAAGTGCAGACGAGCGGTTTGGGCACTTGGAGAGGACAGGCAGGGGACATCTGCCTGTTGAGGTAAGCCCTGTGTGCCAACATGCAGGCCTGCCTTCTGCACTGGGTGCAGCCCGAGATATGGACGCAGCCTTCTCATGGCCATGCACCTCCACGTCACAGCCCATCCTGACCCTGCCAGACCTCTGAGGGTGCCAACGACAGGCAGGTAGTCCCAGAGCAATCCTGGCACACTTTATCAATAACAAGGACAAAACTTCACCAAGCTCCCCTGGGGCACCTTGCAGTGAAATCTTCCTTTGGGTTGGGTAGGTGAAGGCTGTAGCCCCAGGTTGGAATGCCACCAGGCGCTGAAGCATGGGCGCAAATCTGGGCTTGGCACAAAGTCTCCTGTTCACAAAACAGGCTGCCAGGTGCTGAGGGTGGCTCCAGTAGCCATGCCCCATGCTGGGACTTGAGGATGTGCAGCTCCATTCTCGGGGGATGTGAGCTCAGACACGAAGCCACCCCACAACCCACAGGGCCCCCAGCTCCCAGCACCAACTTCTTGGGGTCTTGCAATGGTACATGCCATCACGTGCATGCCACGTGAGCCAGCCAGCTAACAGGCTCTGCTCCAAGAGCGCAGCAGCCCGTGCAGAGAGAGATGGAAGGAGCCAGAACAGACAGGAGAGACCAGCAAGTCTCAGCTGATCTCCACCAGGGCTGGCTCGGTGTGGGGGGGGGGGGTCCTGCAGAACGAGAAGACCCCCGGCGGCAGCGGGTTCCTCCCGGATCCTCAAGCCACGTCTGATGCAACAGGTGCCTTGGTGATGTCCCCTCTGCCCCACGAGGACGTGGTCAAAGCCAAGGACAGGCACGTGAACCAACAAGAAACCCCCCAGGGCAGTGGAGCTGTCCACATAGAAGCTGGAGCAAGACAGGCAGAACACAGCACGGTGGTGGTTAGGCCCCTGAGCACCCACAGGTGGGGCAGGCCCTCCCCACACACCTGCACCTTTCCGAGGCCTCGCCCTGCCCTCTGGACGTGTCCACTGTGTGGCCCCCAGGTCACTGTAAGTAGCATGCACGGTTCTCGGAGCTGCCCCTCAAGGTCCCCGGCCACCTGTGAGCGCCTCACACTGGGAATGCAGCTCTGCACAGGTGAAAAACCGGCCTCGTTCCATCTCAAAAGACCTGCATCTGCCCTCCACACACACCACCACCAGGCAGCCTTCCTGGAATGCCTCACAGGGGTCCAACATCCTTCATCCCAAACTCTCCAACATGGGAAACTTTGTGAATGCCAGCATGATGTCACACGTGACATCAGGGGAAGCCAAAGCCAAAACACTGGTGTGCCAAAAGCACATCAAATCACCATCAGGCCGCAAACCCACGGGTCCACACCAGAAGGATTCGTGGCTGGACTCGGTCACAATGTCAACATTCCCCAGTGCAAAAACTTGGGCAGCGAATAAAGCCTTGGTTGGCAACACCAGCATCCCAGATAGGCACCGGTTCATGTCCCGGCTGCTCCACTTGCCATCCAGCTCCCTGCTTACAGAACGCATCAGGACAGCCCAAGGGCTTGGGACCTTACACCAAGTGAGAGACCCGGAAGAAACTCTTGGCTCCTGGGTTCAGATCAGCTCAGTTCCAGCCATTGTGGCCATTTGAGAAGTGGATGGGAAATCTCTGTCTCTTTCTCTCTCTAAATCTGCCCTTCCAATAAAAATCAATACATCTTGAGAGAAAGAAAGGAAGGAAGGAGGGAAGGAAGGAAGGAAGGAAGGAAGGAAGGAAGGAAGGAAGAAAGTCAGCTGAAATCCATCAAGGTAGTTGCAAGGTTTTGGGTGGCGTCAGAGAGTCGGCCTGCACTAGCATCCCGAGATGTCAGAGCCACAATGAACTCCAATGTCACCTAATCGCAGACGGGAAAAGCCACACAAGATGGCCGGAGCTGCGGCAGCGACAGCGGGAGAAGACCTCAGCTTCCTGACCTCCAGAGCCACAGGAACCACGGAGCCCCAAGGAGACCCTCTGGGGCCGTCCCCTCCCCTGTCCCAGCTGCTCTCCTACCTTTCCTCCTCCACCAGGGTCCCTCAGGGACCGAGTAGGACAGGTCCTTGAACTCGATGTTCACAGCCGCCCTGCGCGGCAGCGAGGAGAAGCGCTGGGCCTCCATGAGGTTGTTGTCCACTTTCTTCAGGTGCCCGTTCATGAGCTCCGTCTCCGCCGAGTCCATGCTGCCCGAGAACACGTCGTCCACGGAGACGCACACGGACTTGGGCTCAACCATGGCTGCCGAGTAACTGCTGGGGTTCTGCAAAGACAGATGGGGAGACCAGATGTGTGACACGCTGTCCAGGGGCGGGCAGGAGCAGACCTGTACCAGAGGGACGCACGTCACCTGGCACACCTGACCCCACATGGGTGCCTCGCACCAGAGGGACGCATGTCCATATGGGCACATGGCTCGTGGGAAGCACGCTGGGATGGTGCAGTCTCGGCAATGCTTTGCTTTGGGTAACTAGTGAGGGGCAATGGGCCGAGCGGCTCTGGAGACATGGTCAACAGCACAGGGGAGCAACAGGAACTCCCTTTGTGCTGAGAGTGGCCGCCTTCCCAGGGCAGGGAGGAGGGGCACAGTGGGGGGCCGTGGCTGTGACCACACGGACCTAGTCGTGCTTGGGGGTTCAGGAGCAGCCAGGCGTCACCTGCGGTCACAGCTTTGAACCCTGCTGGCCCCAGGTAGCCTGGGAAACGCCAGACTCCGCCTTGGGCGAGTGATGCTGAGCGACCTGGGGACCAGGCGACTCACTGGTACCCCGTGCCAAGTCCACACTTACCCACCCCCTGCACACAAGCCTGCAGCCTCTGGCACAACCTGCAGGCCCCAGTGGCGGCATGGTGTCCTGCTGGGGCAGCGGTGGGGAGTGACCCAGTCGCCCCCTCAACCTCCACCCTTCCAACCATGGTGAGTCCCACAGCCAGGGGACACTGCTGTCCTTGTCTGACATGGGGCCCGCCACCCCCACAGGCACCCACACACTGGGGCAGCTATGTCAGCCTCCCACTTGTGCCAAGTGAGGGTCCAGCTTCCTCTTGGGACTCCATGCTCCCCTAGTTGCCCCTCAACACTCCCTCATTGGACAAACTGAGCAGCAGACAGTAGGACAGACAGACACGACCTCTGGTCTTTCAGCAAGCTCAAATTCAAGATTACGGTCTGGCTGGGGCAGGGTTCGCCAACGCTTGGCAGGGCTCTGTTCATCTAGATCCAGTCCTTTGGGGAAAGGGGGAGAGGTTTGGGACCAGAAGTGCAGGATCAGGGCACCAGCATTGGAGGGCAGGTGGCTGGCAGGTGCACCTGACTCCAGGGAGACGAGGGAACATGCTAGCAGGACCCTGCTTGGTGACAACAGAGAGGGCCATGGGGTAACCCACAATGCCAAGGCCTCCTCCATCCAGGTGAGCGACTCCACACAATGGCAATTAGCACAGGGCTTATTAAACTCCAGCCTGGAGCGACAACACACCTGAGCAACAAGTTCAAACGGTTGGGCAAGGGGAGGGAAGAGACTCACTGACATACAGACCCATGCTGCCCGGCCCGGAGAGGGAGTGAAAGGCCACAGGGACCCCCCGCCCCCAATCCTGAGCCCTAAGTCTCTCACACCGCAGGCCTCTGGACCATCTGTGATGGGAAAACTCACAACAAAAGCCACCCCAGACAAAGCAGTCCCAGAAACACCCAGGCAAGAACCCCCTCTGCCCCCAGGGGTGGCCACACCTGCCACTCCCAAACAGAGCCCTCAGGTGAGCGGGGCCAGCCTGGAGGATGCCACCAGCGCCCCTTCCCTCCCTGCCCTGGCATTGCTATGCTGGCTGTCAGGTACCTCTCTCTCTCTCTCACTCACTCACTCAAACACACACACCACAGCACACAGCACATCCACGCCAGGGCTGATGGCTGAGGACTCCCACCTGGGCGGGGCTCAGGTCTGCTGTGTGTGCAGGAGCCTCCGACAGTGAGCCCCCAGGCCACTGTGGGATGCTGAGCCAGGTGGGAGACACCGTGGCCAGCCTTGTGCCTGCCTGACAAGGGACTTTCTGAGTCTTGTCACAGCGGCTGCCCAAAAGGAAATGATGGGACTGTTGCGCCCTCAACCAAGCAAGAAGGGCAACGCAGAGGCCCCACCACTGTCCAGCCCTCCACCCTGCCCGCCCTAGCTGGGGCCCCAGCGGCTGCCCTGGGTACTCTGCTCCTCCTCCAAGCCTGTACCTGCTGGACCTCAGGGCAGCAAGGCAACAGAAAGGCGCAGCCCAGGTCCTGGGGACCTCAAAGGTTCCCTCAGGACCTGGATGTTTCTTGTAATGCTTTACATTTTTCCTTGAAGCTTAGAGCAGGTGGAATTCCAGATGCCTCCCTTGTGCCTGCTTGTCCACCTTCAGATAACAGCAACACACCCAGGGAGATGCAGCTGCTGGTGTGTAAACAGTTCATGCTTCCTTAGGAAACCATGAGGCTTTTGGATGGGTGCTGTGGCACTGTAGGTTAAGCCTCCGCCTGCAGCACCAGCATGCTACAAGCATGCCTGTTCCTGTCTCAGGGCTCACGGCTCCTTGTTTTCGCCATAGGAAAACAGTGGAGAGTGGCCCAAGTCGTGTGCAGCCAGTGGGAGACCCAGAGAAGCCCCTGGCTTTGAACCAGCTCCGGCCGTTGTGGCTGTCTGGAGAGTGAACCAGCGGATGGAAGATCCCTCCCTCTTTTCTCTGAACTCTTTCAAATAATAATAATAAAAATGTAAAAAGTATAAAGTTTTCAGGGAAGAAGTGATTTTCCAACAATGTTCCCTGGAGAAAAAAAAAAAAAGGTTCCAGCATTTCCATGTGGGAAGAAAACATTTAAACTGTGGGAATCTACAAAACCGTAATGTGAAAAAAAAAAAAAAAAAAAACACCCTGGCATTTAAAAAAAAAAAACTGTCTCTTCAAAACAGTCTGACTCATTCCGGTCCCACATGGCCCAGCCACCTTTGCAGTGAGAACTGCACAAGTTACAAGCGGCTACAACTTTCTCGCCATCATCAATCATCCCAGCCTTCTGGTGTCACTCGGGGGGCCAGCAGGTAAGCGCGGAAGGAGGCCGGGCCAGGCACTCCCCCAAACATCCACCTAGGCCAGCCTTCCCCTTGGCGGGTCCGGCTTTTGCTTGGTTCCTTGCGTCCTCCAGGCCGCCAGCTCACAAGCCGGGAGGGAGTCCTCCCTGCTCCCCTCCCACCGCCTGGACCCGCGTGCGGCCCCATTCTATCGCTTTACACCAAACCATTATGTAATGAGCTGGCGAGGCTCCGCGCTTCTACAGTAACCTGTTTGGAATCATAGGATGCGGCTGTCGGAACGGAGCATGCGCGCAAACCCCGGCTTCCTTTTTTTTTTTTTTCTTGAGCTCAAGGCAAGAGGTAACTGTCGGTCAAATCGCACAGCGCCCTGCTGACTTCAAACCCAGGATGCTAAAAATGAAATCGAGGTGGGGGCGGGGGCCAGCCTCCGGGAAGCACCCGGCAGCCAGGGACAGAGGCAAACAAGCGGGTGCGGGGGAGGGGGGATACGCAGGACTTGGGACTGCTCCTCTGGGTGCCCCGAAATCCAAAACTCGGCCCCAAGCTCCGAGCTGCGTGCTCCGCGAGCCAAGCGCAGACGCCGAAGGCCGGCGGGGGCGAGGGGTCGGCGACGAATGGGGATGGGGTGCTGGTTTGTTCCCACCGGGGGTCCCCTCCAGCAAGGCGGAGGGGGTCCGCCCCGGCCGGACCACCGGGCGCTCACCGAGCCCGCTCCGGAGAAGCGGGATCGCCCCCTCCTCCCGGGTCGCCCCAACGCGGCGCGCGCACCAAGGCTGCCGGCAGGTGTCCCCTCGCTTCTGTCCATCCCCGCGGGCTCGGCCACCCGCCCCTGGCTAAGCCCGGCGAGGCTGCCCCCAATTCCGTCCCCCCACACCGGGAGGTCAGGCTCCGGCTTTCGGGGAGCAGCTCCTGCTGTGTGTCCCTCATTCCCCCGGCAGAAGTCCCCGCTCGAGGAGGGACACGACCCTCCTGGGGCCCAGGCTGCAGCCCCTGCCCAGCGCGCCCCTCCCAGCAAGCGGACGAGGTCAAGGCCATCTGTCCACTTTGTGGTGCTGCTCACCGCCCCCCAACTCCCGGACCCTCTACCTCTCACGCGCCAGGGGCATCCCCAGGCGCGCCAGGTAGCCGGGCCGGGACGCTTGGCGCCGGGCGCCTCTCGGAGGGCAGCCCCGGGTCGGCGCGCTGAGGACGCGCTCCGGGCAGCAGCGGGCGTCCGGGAGAGCGCGTGGGTCTCTGTGTGCGCGGCGAAGGATGCGAACACTCACCATGGCGGTGCCGACCGAGAAAGCGGCCATCAGACAGGCCATGCCCCGGGGGCGGCGGCGGGGACGCTGCGCTCTCGCTCGCTCCGGGCTGTGCCGCGGCGCCCGGCTCCGGCCGCGCTCGCCTCCCGGCCGCGCCCCGCCCCGCCCCGCGATTGGCCGCCGCCGAGGGCCGGGCCGCGGCAGGTGCGCGTGCTCTTGTTTTGCTGCGCTGGGGGCGGTCGGCCCCGCACGCGCGCTTCTTTCCCAGAGTGGCCAACCGAGGCTGACCAGAGCTCCACCAAGCCCCCGGGTCTTCCCCCGGGTCCTGAGCAAGCTCGCGGGGCGGGGGAAGATCCCCCAGTTCGGACCACCGCTGCCTCCCAGCCTGGAAGCTGCTGTTCCAGATCCGAGATGGATCAGAGAGGGATGCAGCCCCCCACTCCCACCCCGTTCTGAGCGGGACTACCCTTCTATGCCGTGGCAGGCGCGCATTCAGGCGTATGGGAAGTTGTGATCTGCAGGGCGCCCTCCAGGGCGCAGGCAGCAGAGGCGCGAGGTGAGGATGCCGAGGTCCCTAACACATCCAGGCCGCACTGGGCGCACGCAGATGGCTCCAGGGTTGGCGCAGGGCTGTGTCTTCCAAATTGTGTGCGGCTGCTCTGGGGCACCCGCACGGCCCGCCCCGGACCTGAGCATCAGGTGACCCCCTGCGCCGCTGCCCCAGCCTGTATTGCAGTAAATGCCGCTTCCTGATAACCATGGCAACAGGCATTCCTCAGGCCCAGCCCCGCAGGCTGGTCCTTCTGTTCTGGAGTTTGCATGTCCGGACTCAGACCTGGAATGTGTTTCTTCTCAACTCTGTACACCTGGGCCACCTGCCCACCAGCCTCAGGGGAGCCGGGCCTCTAGGAAAGAAGTGACAGGTGGGCTCCACACCCGCAGGTGGATGACAGCGCGTCCCAACAGGCAAAGCAGGTGTGCTCAAAGTTTAAGAGTCTCTCTGGTACAATAGACTGGGTTCCCCTGACATTTGTGGATCAGGAGGCCCCCAAACCCAGAGCTTTGAGATGAGGACTCGGATCCACCAAAACACATCCGAAGGCTGAATGCCTGTGGCATCCGGCCTGGGGCCTACCTCCTGCATCAGAGCAGAGGAGACATGGGGAGGGGGGTTCACGGAGGGAGGGAGCAAGTGCAACAGTCCCCATGGAGGGACCCAGGGGACCCGGGAAGATGGTGGACAGACCCCATGGAGGGACACAGGGGACCCGGGAGATGGTGGACAGACCCCATGGAGGGACACAGGGGACCCGGGAAGATGGTGGACAGACCCCATGGAGGGGCACAGAGGACCCAGGGGGATGGTGGACAGACCCCATGGAGGGATACAGGGGACCCGGGGAGATGGTGGACAGACCCCATGGAGGGACACAGGGGACCCAGGGGGATGGTGGACGGACCCCATGGAGGGACACAGGGGACCCGGAAGATGGTGGACAGACCCCATGGAGGGACACAGGGGACCCGGGAGATGGTGGACAGGCCCCATGGAGGGACACAGGGGACCCAGGGGGATGGAGCAGGTGGGACAGGCCCCATGGAGGGACACAGGGGACCCGGGAGATGGCGGACAGACCCCATGGAGGGACACAGGGGACCCAGGGGGATGGAGCAGGTGGGACAGGCCCCATGGAGGGACACAGGGGACCCGGGAGATGGTGGACAGACCCCATGGAGGGGCACAGAGGACCCAGGGGGATGGTGGACAGACCCCATGGGGGTTCCTGTGTGTGAACATTCCCCGTGGGACATGGGTAGTGACACTATGCCTGCCCCGGGCATCTCTCTTCTGCCCAGTGTCCACCCCCCTCACTTCCCACAGTATGCCCGGAACTTTCTTCACCTGGGGTAGACGTGCAAGTGGCCGACTTGCAGCCCCAGTGCAGGTCGGTAGAGCTGCGGACAGGTGGGTGAGTAGCAGAACAAAGGTGACACTGGGCTGCCAGGAGTGATGGGGCTGCGGGCAGCTTCAGGAAGCTGGCCCAGAGACATGCAGGGCAGTTGGCGGTGGCAATTCCCCTGCCAGAGCTGTCCATCCCCCTTCAGGTCCTGGGGATAATTCTCTCCCCTGTGGGAGATGCTAGGTGACAGGCACCTTCCACCTTGCAGGACCCAGAGCCAGTGTCCACCCTGCTCCTTTGTGTACCAGGACTCCAGGCTGTCAGTGGCAGGAAGCCAGTCACCAGACAGGTCAGCGACGCAGGGACCTAATGTGTGCCCTCAGCCCGAGTGGCACTCCTGGCTGTGTGCTCTGGGTGGCTCCGGGCCTGCTCCCGTAAGCCACTAAGGTTGACCCAGTGAGGTGAGGGGTGGGCTGCCTGCCCAGGAGGGGCCAGAAGGTTAACCCCACAGGAAACCTGGGAATGGCAAAGGTGCTGTCTCCGGAGCATGGGTGCAGCAGACAAGGAGGTGCACACCACACACGTGACCTGACGTGTAGGCCAGGGTGACAGCCCACACATCACCAGCTAGAGTCACGGCTCAGTGCCTGAGGGGTGGGCTTGGGGCGCCCAGGACATGGTGCGGTGTGTACACAGAAGGCCCCCCTCTCCGTCCCGTCCAGCTGGTGCAGTGAGGGAGCCCTGGGGATGGTCAGCGCACGGTCAGTGTGAGCCCTGCCGAGGTGGCTGGTCAGCCGGTCCAGGCTCTCCCTTATATTGGCACTTATATTTAGGAAAAGAAAATAGTTTAAAAAGATAACAAGAAGTTTCTTGTGAAGGCCCTCTGTTCATACAAAGGCTGAGCTACGCTGATCCTGTCACTGCTCTTTAACAAGAAAGCAAACACGTAATTCAATCAGTGGTAGGTGAAGGGGAGGGTAGTGTATGCCTGTAAGATTTAATTTAAAAATCTATAATATACACCTTTATAAGTCCCTTTCATTTGTAAGCTTTCTTTTTAATTTTGAATTCTTGATATTTTAAGTAATGTTAGTTTGGGTTTAGTGAAAATCGATTTTAGCTATGACTGTCACTACATAACCGCATGTGCCGCCCGTGGAGCTCCCGGCTTCAGCCAGGGACTGCAGGTCTGAGTGAGTATGGCTTGCTGCAAATGTTTTCTTTGAAGTAAAAGGGTAATAATGTTTTTTAGAATTGCATTTGTAATCATTCTTTTAACCACAAAGTAAAAATGAACCCGTTGGTGAAGCTTGTGAAGGCTCCTGCATAAATGAAGAAGGCAGCTCTTCTTTGCTGTCCAGTCTGAGCATCATGCCGCAGTGGTCCACGGCTCTTCTTGCCTTCTTTCCCGCGATTCACGCACCCTTCCTGAGCTCCGAACTCGGCTGGACCTGGGCTGCGGCAGTTCTCTTTTAAAGGTTTATTATCTTATTCAAAAGGCAGATTTACAGAGAGGAATATCTTCCATCTGCTGGTTCACTCCCCAGATTGCCACAATAGCCGGTGCTGAGTCAATCCGAAACAAGGAGCTTCTTCTGGTTCTCCCACGTGGATTGAGGCTTCCAGAGACTTAGGCAGTCCTCCGCTGCTTGCCCAGGCCAAAAGCAAGGAGCTGGATCAGAAGTGGAGCATCTGGGGTTCAAACCAGCCCTGTGTGGGATGCCAGCACTGAAGGAGGGAGATTAGCCTGTTGAGCCATGGTGCTGGCTGCCTTCCAACTCTCCTGTGTGCATAGCTAGCAGGATGCACACGGCCTGTCCACGTAGACACACAGCTGGCAGAGTAGATGCATACATGCCTAGGCAGACACACGCCTGCGGAGTTCAGGATGGTTTCCCAGGGCCTGCAGCTGTCCAAGGACTCACTCCACTCGCTACCTGCTCTCCACACTTGCTGCACAGCGCAGTGACCGGAGGAGTGAGGGCCAAAAGAGACAGAAAAAACAGGCTGCACAATCTGAACTTGGCCTCACGCTGCAAGTGGTACACTCAAAATGACGTACAGACTTGAAAGCCAAGCCATGATCCTTTAGGACAAACATTGGGAGAAAAATCTCTAGGCTCTGTGGCCAGATGTTGAGTTCTCACGCTGAACACCAAACACACACACCATCAAAGCGGAAGTTGATAAGTTGGACTCTGCTTAAGCAAAAAAAAAAAAAAAAAAACAAAAACCAACTAAAACAACTGAGTCTGAGAGAGACCTGTTAGGAGAATGAGAATACAGGGGCTGGTGCGGGGCCGCAGCTGCTAGAGCCGTAGCCTGCAGCGCCACCGTCCCATGCGGGCACTAGTTCATGTACCAGCAGCTCCACTTTCCCATCCAGCTCACTGCCTGTGGCTTGGGAAAGCAGTTGAGGATGGCCCAAAGCCTTGGGACTCTCTACCCATGTACGAGATCCGGAATAAGCTCCTGGCTTCAGATTGGCTCAGCTTTAACTGTTGCAGCCATATGGGGAGTGAACTGACAGATGGAAGATCTCGCGCTCTCTAACTCTGCCTTTCAAATAAATAAACATCTTTTTAAAAAGATGCTGAGAACACAACTTACAGATAGGGTGGAAATATTTGCAAAGCCTCATTCCCAGCAAAAGATCGGGCTCTATTAGCATGAAAAACTCGAAGAAGTCAACTTTTATTTTTTTTAACTAAAAGTGTCAAACCATCCCATTGGAAGATGGGCAAGAGACAGCAGTGCCTGAGAAGGTAAGGTACAGCAAACACCCATGTGAGGCTCCGACCTGCGGGGTGCGGGCGAAGGGCCTGAGAAGGTAAGGTACAGCAAACACCCGTGTGAGGCTCCGACCTGCGGGGTGCGGGCGAAGGGCCTGAGAAGGTAAGGGACAGCAAACACCCGTGTGAGGCTCCGACCTGCGGGGTGCGGGCGAAGGGCCTGAGAAGGTAAGGGACAGCAAACACCCGTGTGAGGCTCCGACCTGCGGGGTGCGGGCGAAGGGCCTGAGAAGGTAAGGGACAGCAAACACCCGTGTGAGGCTCCGACCTGCGGGGTGCGGGCGAAGGGCCTGGGAAGGTAAGGGACAGCAAACACCCGTGTGAGGCTCCGACCTGCGGGGTGCGGGCGAAGGGCCTGGGAAGGTAAGGGACAGCAAACACCCGTGTGAGGCTCCGACCTGCGGGGTGCGGGCGAAG